TCCCTCCATTTCTCCCTCTCTTTCTCTTCCCTTTGCCTTCCTTCCTTCTTGCCTTCCTTCGCAAGGAGTAGCACTTAGACTTATACATCACTTTACAGTGCTTTACAGCCCTCTTTAAACAGTTTCCAGAGCCAGCCTGTTGCCCCCAACAATCTGGGTCCTCATTTTACTGACCTCGGAAGGACAGAAAGCTGAGTCGACCTAGAGCCTGGTGAGATTCGAACTGTCAAACTGCAAACAGCCGGCAGTCAGCAGAAGTAGCCTGCAGTACCGCGCTCTAACCACGGCACAATCGTGGCTCATTATGATGCTTATAGCATCCTGTAGTCACGTGATTGTCATTTGTGACTTTCCCAGATGGCTTCCGACAAGCTCACTTAATGACCATCTCTTAACAACTCCCATGATTCATTTAATAACCGTGGCAAGAAAGGTCGTAAAATGGGGCAAAATTGACTTAAATGTCTCACTTGGCAACATGAATTCTGGGCTCAATTTGGTGGCTGTAAGTTATGCACTACCTGCAGTGAATCACAAGGCAGCCGATACCAACAAGTTCTAGCTTGTGTGTTGAGTACTAAACAAATGATGAGTATTGGGACAAAACTTTTGTATTAAAATGCATTGAATGCCAAATTCGATGAGTTTCAAAGCGGTTGAGTATCCAGGCACCACTCTATTAGTTACATACAGGTAGTCCTCAACTGACGACTGATCGCTTCGGGATCATTCAAAGTCGCTAAGTGGAAATGAAGAAGGGACTTGCATTCTGAAAGTCTATGGACCTTCTCTGCCATCCAGGTAATAGTTGTCCCAAAGGTGATTCTTTGAAGAGGCACCTGGACTTTCTGGTTTTTATTTTGAAGATGTTTCGCTTCTCATCCAAGGAGCTTCTTCAGCTCTGACTGGATGGTGGGGAATGGGAGGATTTATATTCCTTGCAGACAGCTGGTCATTTGCGTCCTTTTTAGAGAGCCGCTGAGGCCACTTGGAGGTTGGTTCTCTGTCCTCAGGGTCACCTGAGTGGTGCAAATGGATGTGCAGCTTTCTACAACACAGTCTTGCACCACTCAGGTGACCCTGAGGACAGAGAACAAACCTCCAAGTGGCCTCAAGGACCCTTTAAAAAGGATGCAAATGACCAGCTGTCTGCAAGGAATATAAATCCTTCCATTTCCCCACCATTCTGTCAGAGCTGAAGAAGCTTCTTGGATGAGAAGGGAAATGTGTTCAAAGAAAAAAAAGGACCTTTGGGATGAGTTGCATCCTGGTTTCGAAGTTGTCATGTCTCCCCCACAGGATCACGTGTCCAGATTTTGGGCAACTGGCCCACATTTGAAGAAGCCCATGATCGCCTGACCGTGACTGGTGACGTTTTTGCTCAAAACCAGCATTAATTTCCAGTTTCTGACCAAAACTCCCCTTAGCAAACAGCGGGGTTTGCTCAATAACCACGTCAAGTCAAATTGACCTGTTTTAGGAGCGTCATAACTCACAACCCTGAAAATTGGGGGGGGGGGGGCTCAGTTATGGTCATAACTTAAGGACTACTTGTACAAGAGCCCCACCCACCCCGCCGCCATTCTCTCTGCTCAATGCCAGTTACCTATAATGCCAATTTTGGCTACGAAAAGGAGCACAACCCCCAAGGGAAGGCCTACAGTGTAGTAGCCCAGCGTGTTGAAAATGGCGCCTAGTTTCTGCCTTCCGGTGCCACGCAACACCCCACTGGTTGTAGCCTGCAAGAGATGAAACGAAGGATGGGGTCAATGTTTTGGAATCCTCTACCTGACTCTGTGGTTTCTTTCCCAAACCCCCAAAAACTTTAACCTTAGACTGTCTACTATTGACCTCACCCCTTTTCTAAGAGGTCTGTAGGGGGCGTGCATAAGCACACCAACGTGCCTACCATCCCTGTCCTAATATTCCCTTTTATTCGTATCCATTTTATGTATTAATAATCATGTTTATATATACTTTATCTGTTATCTAATACATGCTCGACTAACTAACTAACTAATTAAATAAATAAATAAAAATAAAATAATAATAAAATAAAATAAAATAAAATAATAAAATCAAATAAATGTAAAATGAAATAAAATAAAATAAAAATGAAATAAAATAAAATAAAAATGGAATAAAATAAATAAATAAATAAAATAAAATATAAATAAATAAATAAAATAAAAATAAATAAATAAACCAGAGGTGGTATTCAGCTGGTTCTGACCAGTTCTTGAGAAGCGGTAGCGAAAACTTTAAAAAAAAATTTTTTTTTAAATTTTTATAACAAAAATAAACAAATCAAACCACCTTTCAGTTCTCCAGTGTGTTGGTTGGGTACATATATCTTGTGCACGTAATAATATCATACATTTCTTATTTGCTTATATTTATAACCATTCTAATTGATATTTTATATCACATTGGTCAATTGTTATATTATCATTAACACTGTAATTATAATCTTTCTAAAGTATATTTCCTTACTTAAGTTATGTTCATTCTCTTATTCAATCCTAATCAATCAATTATAATATGTTATTGCTATTATCACATTTCAGTTTCTTACTCTTCTATCCAGCTATTCATAAAATAAATTCCAAATCGTATAATAATCTTTTTCTTCCTGTTCTCTAATTGCCATTGTCAATCTATTCATTTAGATAGCGAAAACTTTGAGGAGTTTGGAGAACCAGCAAATCCCGACTCTGACTGGCCCCGCCAATCCCATCTATTCTCTGCCTCCCAAGTCCCAGCTGATTGGCTGGGTCTCCTTTGGTTGCCCTGCACAGGAGAACAGAGCTGGAAAGCAGGTTAGTGGGGTCAGGAGGGAAGGGGGATTTTGCAATATCCTTCTCCTGCCACGCCCACCAAGCAGGGGTCGGATTCTACCAGTTCGCACCTATTCACTAGAACCGGTTGTTAACATTCTACGCAGTTCGGAGAACCGGTTGTTAGAAGAAATTACAGGGCTAATCCTGTAAGGAAGGCAGGAAGGAAACATTCTGGTGTTGCTTAAAGAAACTGCCTCTCCTTTAACCCTTATTACATTCTTGGCAGGACTAGACTTCCTGTCTCTGGAACTTCTCTGGAGTTTTTTCCCCCTCCTTTGCTAGTACTTTGCTAGTGTGGAGTGGCCATTCAAAGTTACAATGGCACTGAAAAAAGTGACTTATGACCATTTTCACACTTATGACTGTTGCAGCATTCCCCACAGTCATGAGAGGCCAGGCGAGGAGATGCGTGCCTCGATGTGAGTGATATTGAGTTGGCCACACCCAGCCAATAACATGACCACCAAGCCACGTCCACCCAGTCACATGACCACCAAGCCGTGCCCACCAACTAAGCCATGCCCACAGAACCTGTAATAAAATTTTTTTGAATCCCACCACTGGTGTGAAAATTGAAGGTGCGTGGACTTCAACTCCCAGAGTTCCCACTGTGCTGAGTGAGGAATTCTGGGAGTTGAAGTCCACCCATTCCTCCCTACACCAGACTCCCTTCATATACCCCATTAAGGCGTACTTTGGTTATTGGTGGTTTACCAAATGGACTATAGTTGCTTAGGATTGCCTAAACATTTGAGCTGAAGTCCAGCTTAAATTTAACCCTCTCCAGTAAGAGGAAAAAAAAAAGACTTACGCAAAGACCTTCAAACAGGTGGAAGGCAATGTAGACAGGCATCACATAAGCCACGAGGTCAACCACTTCCCTGTTTTGGACAAATAGATACAGATAGATTCAGATTAACAGAGTTGGAAGGGACCTTGTAGGTCATCTAGTCCAACCCCACCGCCCAAGCAGACCCTACATGATTATTATTTTTTTGACAGATTAAATAGATTAAAACCATCATTAGCACCAACCTCCTCTTAGTTGGGGTGGTCCAGTCTTGGCAACTTTAAGACCTGTGGACTTCAACTCTCAGAATTCTGGGAATTAAAACCCACAGGTCTTCAAGTTGTCAAGATTGGACCCCCCTGAATTTAGCTGCCCTACTCTAAGCCACAACTTCTCTTTGTGAGAAGTATCAGGAGAATGTGATCCAGGTCTACAGAGGAATGATTGAGTCTGTCATCTGCACCTCTATAACTGTCTGGTTTGGTTCTGCAACCCAACAGGACAGACGCAGACTCCAGGGGATAATTAGGACTGCAGAGAAAACAATGGCTGCCAACCTGCCTTCCATGGAGGACCTGTATCCTGCACGAGTCAGAAAGAGGGTTGTGAAAATATCTACAGACCCCTCACATCCCGGACATAAACTGTTTCAACTCCTTCCCTCAAAACGACGCTACAGAGCCCTGCACACCAGAACAACTAGACACAAGGACAGTTTTTGCCATCACTCTGCTAAACGAATAATTCCCTCAACACTGTCCAACTATTTACAAAGTCTGCATTACTATTACTATTAATCCTCTCATCCTTCTTATATGTTGTGGTCCATCAGCAGCCTGTGGAGCTGGCAGCAGTCGTACAGTGAGGAGGAACATGGCCCAGTGCTGGAGTCTGGGGAGGGCTCGGATCAGGGATCTGCATCTGATATAGAGATGGGGCCAGTGCCATCTGGGAGTTATGTGCTGACTCCGGAGCCTCCAGAATCTGACATCAGTGAGGCAGAGGAACAG